ATTTGAAGTTCAAAAAAAGATGCAAAAGAATAATGGAAGAAGACAATAAAGATGTGTATGTGTAAATATGCAACGGACTTTATTTGTAGTTCAAAATACAAAAAAAAAGACAATTTTCTTATCATTCATGGTGCTCTAAGTGCTTGGAAATCTTGTAAAGAATAATTTGTGGCCAATATGGTCTTGCAATTGATGTTCTTTTTATGCCAATGACAAGATATATTTCTAATGTGCTTTGTTTCACCTTTATCTTTCATAATGCTGCTGTCTCATCTGTTTCATTCTTTCTTTTTTTGGTAAAGAATATTAAAAACATTTATTACAAAGGTCTTTGTAATAGTACTTTTCCTGTTAAATATTTAACTTGCCAGTTTGCATGGGTGTGAAAAGATATGTATGTTGTCAGATAATTTCTCTCTGTTTATGGTCTAACTAGAAGTTATTATTATTATATTGCATTGATGGAAACAATGGTTAAAACATTGTTTTATGTTCCATGAAATTGCCATACCAGATGTTATTTACACTGAAAGAGATTTATAAGAAATTCAAGATTGTTTTATATCCCTCTATATTTATTATATTTTAAATCTTGCATGCTGTTATGAAAAAAAAAGTATACAATTAAGAAAATAGGCAGCAGGTTGGTAAATGATAAAAAGAAAACTCAAGTTGAAAAAGGAATGAAAAAATCAGGAACTGCATTACAGAATTATTTGAAAATGTTTATGAGAAGCAAGCGTACAAGAAAGAAATCTTACCCAGTGTCCAACGGAATCTTTTTTTATATTAGCAAATCGGGAAATAACATCTTATATTGGAGTATAAATGTCCACAATAAGTAAGTTTATTTATCAAAGCATGAAAATATTAATGACATCAACTAGTCTTCTGCTATTGCAAGATATTACCAATGCAATATTTGTTGAATTAATTTATAGAAGCTTAACTGAATGTCACATTTAGATTCACATTTCAAAATTACATTTAAATTACATTTTTGTATTTTACTCCAGAGCTTTTTTACACATCCTTTGTGCACTATATTGGTAAAAGGCAGACAAATTAGTGATAGTCGAAATATTTGAATACGCATTCATATTTGCTATTATGTGTAAGTGCGCTTATATTGGCAAATATTTGCATTTTTACCAGTATTCATGCTGGTATTTGCAATTATATGTATGAACATTTGGGAATATTAATAATGAGAATTTATAAAGTTTACCGAAAATTAAATATTCAGTCAAAAATACAAATTCAATGCATTCAAGGCCAGTATTGCCAGCAGAGCATCACTGCTTGGCTTGTCATAGGGTAGCTGGCAGCATCATTTTCCTCACAACCAGACAACCCAGACAAGTCTTTTGCTGGTTTTGGCTGACATTCCAACAGGTTTGACTGTCATGCAAAAAATGTAAATAATAGTTCTGTCATCAAAGAAAATATTCACCTTTCACTATTATCGAACTTTGAAAATTCATTGAAAATCTATATTTGTACCATTATTAAAAATAAAGACATTTCCATATAATGATAAGTTATAAGTTAGGTAGTAGTAGATACTGTATATCATAATGAAGACTGACTGCAAGTAAATTACTTCATTGCCAAATTCCAAGAGGAGAGGTCTGGATAACTGACTTCAATTGAATCATCTCTCAGCTCCTTACCCGCTCCGTGGAATGATTGCCGAACACCCCCTCAATGGATTTCCTGCAGTTTTCTTAAGGGAAGGCACCCAAAACCCCAGTTAGTCTTGGCAAGAAGGGCATCCAGGAAAGAGAAGGGAGCACTGACAAAATTGAAGTTCCGAATAGAGATTTCCATATATAAACTAACCATTAACAGCAGAGGTACCAGATGGGTATAGTTAAAGGGATGTTGAACAGCAATGATGGTTTGATTAGCATATATCTGCTTACAGATAGTAGACATAATCAGGGCAACAATTTGGATAGACAAAACATTTAATTTTTGTGCGAACAAAGAATGAAAGGAGTATTTATAGATTTTAAGTGACCACTTGAGAGTATAGTAAACTTCCCAATGCAAATAATAGATCAGTTTCATGATAGTGTTGCTGCTGGAATTAAAAGAGTTACTTTTCAATATCCTATCATGAACATCAAATAGAAGGGATTTTGTAGAATAACTTTACTTTATTAAAAGTCATCAGATAAAGTCTGATAGTGTGGATGAATACAGTTATTTGTTTATATAATAAATAAAGGCAAGACAGGAAAAAGTTCCGAAATTACATAATTTTTCTCTCTCTTTTACGCTGAAATAATTAATAGGTATGCCAACAGCCCTTTATAGGTTTTTACCGCCAATTCATCTGAAATATGGGATATCATTGATATATAAAGCTATTTATATCATGAAGTTGACTAAAAAACCTAATTAAACTTAAAGTAACTCTTTTAACACTAATAAAGTGACTATATAGAAGAGGAGGCAATATCTAACCTTTATTTTGGTTAAGAGCGAGTTCTAGAAATCTTTTAGTGAATGGAAATTTCGAAGTTATCTATGCTTTGAAACCAGTTTGCAGAAACGACAAACAGTTGACTATTAATTACAAGATATCCAATTATATGATGATCACAAGATTAGTTTGACAGTATCCTTTACGTAGCCGTAATTCAACGGGAGCTTCAAAAGTATATACTTATAGAAAATCCGTACTGGTGGGTCTAAAAAGTATTTTAAAAATGGTAGAAAACAATTACTAAAAACTCGTCTATAGATATTCATATACACGTCTATGTATATGATCATGGTTCCCTGTAAACATTTACATGAATTACCGTTATATAAAAAAAACACGGAAATAAATGCACCATAATTTCTATAGGCTTTGCCGATACCAAAATTATAATAGTTTGTGCTATAATAAGTTGTAGAAATTTCCATTTTCTATAACACTTTCGGCTATTCATCTTTTAAAATTATACTTTGACGTATCTTTACATAAAACATCCTGATTTATAAAATGATAAAAACATTAATTCTAAAATAATATTAAAGATTGTATAAAAAAAATAAATATAAGATTTGAAAAATGCTTGCCCCACGTCGGCTGGAACGCTCAACGGCTCGCGAATGTAAACAGTGTGAGCTGAGCCAGTGAGCGAGATGGAGGAGGAGCTGCGGTGTAGTCAGTGTACCGGGTATTACCACGTGCCGGTTATATTAGTGTGTCGTCATGCTTTGTGTCTAGCTTGTGCAGGAGCACTTCAGAAACCTGCAGCTCCGCCTGCACGTAGTGAGGATGAAGGGAGTGTTGCTCCTGCCGAAGATCTCCACGAAACATCCGAGGTGGATAAACTGTCCGTGTTGAGCGATGCTGACTCGGGCGTTTCGTGTAGTTCTCGTCCAACTAGCCTTGTCGGTGCTCCTGAAGGAGGCAGCAGCTCGGATCCGCCCCCGCCACCACCCGTGTACACCATCGCATGCCCGCAGTGCTCCGTTCTGACGCCGACAGACGAAGCGGGGGCGCAGGGCCTGACGCGGTTCAAGGTGCTGGCGGCGGTGGTGGACAAGCACCTGGAGAGGTACCAGGTAGCTGAGCCGTGCCAGCTCTGCGATGCGGCCACGGCGCCCCGACCCGCCCAGGTCTTCTGCGACCAGTGCTTAGTGTTCTACTGCGGCCCCTGTCGAGAGGCCTGCCACCCCGCCCGTGGCCCTCTGGCCGCCCACTGGCTGGTGAGCGTGGCCGAAGGAAGGGCGCTCCTAAGGGCGCGACGGAGGGAGAGGGAAGGGCGCTGCACACACCACCCGCAGGAGCATGTGTCCATGTACTGCCTCACCTGCCGTCTCCCAGTGTGCGTGCTGTGCCTGCACCACGGACGCCACCACGCACACGACGTGCACGCGCTCAACGCCGTCACCAAAACGCACAAGGTGAGTACTGACGCTAACGTCCTTATCATTCAGAGTACCGAATTTCAGCCCTACTTTGTGTCAGTAAATAGCTTCAACATGGCTTCAGGGCTGCCAGGCACCATTGCTTGCTGTCAACCAAAAATCGGCGCAGAGTACCAAACAGTCATGGGAATCTGTCAGTGTCACGGTAAATTTAGATTCGAGAATTCAGTATGTTAATGTTGAAATATTTGTAGCCATTTTGGCTGGTGGTTTAGCGTTTGTTTTGGAGGGGAGTGGGTGGAAATGCCAAAAATATGAGGTTGTAATGCAGTCTGTCTAATAATTTAGATGTGACCTGTGGCTCGGTATTTGTGTGCTTTGGTTGTATGTGTGTGTACGTGTGTATGTGTATACGCCTAGACGGTAATTTGGTAATTAATTTGGTATTTTGAATATTTACCATGTTTTCTTGTTTTTAATGTCTGTATGTATATCTATATATACACGTATGGATGTATGCATGCATGTATGTAGATGTGTTGATGTATTTGTTTGTGCATGTATTCATGCATTTATGGTCAACTGGTTTTATATATGCCAAAATCGTCGATGTCGGAGCGGCGGACGCAATATAGAAAATGACCATGCATTTGTTAGATAGAAAATGAGAAAAAAAAACACTGGGCATGTCTTGTATTGTCGACTACACATTTCGGGCGGGCATTAAACAAAACATTGGCTTGTTTTCAAGCATCTACACATCGATAGAAAATGAGAAAAAAAAACACTGGGCATGTCTTGAATTGTCAACTACACATTTCGGGCGGGCATTAAACAAAAGTCAGCGAAGGCAAAGAATAATGCAGTCGCCGTCAGCACCAGCAAAGGCACTGAATGAGAGCGGTAATGCGGTCTCGCTGTTGGCCGTCAGTCTGGGGAGCAGCTGAGACACGGCGTGAGAGAGAGAGAGAGAGAGAGAGAGAGAGAGAGAGAGAGAGAGAGAGAGAGAGAGAGAGAGAGAGAGAGAGAGAGAGAGGAGAGAGAGAGAGAGAGAGGCTTCGGAGGAGTGCTTCGCTGGGGTTCGGAGTTTCGAAGCATTTACTTCTCTTATGGGGTTCGTTTGCGTGGGTCTCGTCCTGTTGGTGGAGTGCGAATAGTGGGGTCTCGTTTCGTAGTTGACGGCTAGATGGATAGAGCAGATTGATAGAAAGGTGTATTATGTACAGATAGGTTGGAAGATAGATGAATGGATTGATAGAGATAGATAGACGAAGGGACCGGCGGGTTGTTGGAGGGAGAATTATAGATAGGTAGATAAATAGATAAGAGATAGATAGATGGGCGGACGGACGGGTAATTGGATTTGACAGATAGATGGATGGATAGATAAAGATAGATAGATGGGCGGACGGACGGATAGGTGGGCAGATAGGTCGATCGATTAATGATGAATGGATTGATCCCCCAACGAAAAAAAAAATAGGGGTGGGGAAGGATTTCGATATTGCAGTGCGCAAGGACTTTATTTATTATTGCCGACAAAATCTCGCCCTCATTTGCACTTCGTCCACTTGACAAGCCCGGCTCGTGAACCCGAATGGAGCTTTTAATAAAAACGCGTTTTCCCGGGTAGCGAATTGCGAGCGACCCCGCCTTTGCACAGGGAAACGCGAGCCCCGCACTGGCAGCCCGGGGTTTTGCATCCCCCCCCCCCCCAGCTTTCTTTTTTTTTTTTTTTTTTTTCTTTCTCTCTTTTTTTTATCGCCTTTCTCTTTCTTGCTTATCGCCTTTTTCTTTCTTCCTTATCGCCTTTTTCTTTCTTCCATATCGCCTTTTTCTTTTTTCCTTGTCGCCTTTTTCTTTCTCCCTTCTTCCTTATTCGTAGGCTTTATTGTTGTTGTTTTTGGTTTATTTGACATTTTTTTTTTTCCATCTTCGGGTGCGGTTTCATTTTTCTTCTGGTTCTTCTGTCTCCTATCTCTCTTTCCTTCTCCTTTGGATTGTTTTTATCTATTTTTTTTCTTAGTCCTTCCTTTGTCGCTTGTTGCCTTTCACTCTTCCTCTTTTTTCGTCATTCTTCTCTTCTGGCTTTTTATTAACCCTTTTTTTTTCTTACTTCCCTCTCTCTTTGCTCTTCCTTATCTCTCATACTTATCCCCTTATCTTCCTTTCCTTCTTTCGCTGATGGACGAGAACCGACAGAGCTGAAATGACTGAGTGAAGGTACTTGATTCTATTTATCATTAATATTTGTTTGTTTACTTATTGACTTGTTTACGTTGCATTATGTGCTTGTGTTTTTTGTTTGTTTGTTTGTTTTTATTTGATTATTTCGATAATTTGATAGAGGATGTCGTTTTTTTCATTTCTTGTGGAGTGCGTGATTTTGTCTTCGTTATTTGCTTGTTTGTTGTTTTGCGGCCGTGGTCTCATTCTTCTCTCTCTCTTCTCTCGTCTCATTCTCATCTTCTCTCTTCGTCTCTCTCTCTATCTCTCTCTCTCTCTCTCTCTCAATCTCTTTCTCCATATCTGCTCTCCTCTCGCTCTTTCTCTCTCTCTCTCTCTCCATCGTCCTCCTGTCTGTGCTTCCTTCCCATGCCATGTTCACACTTTTTTCACGCTTTTTATGTGTTTGTTGCTCCTTCGCTCACATGTTTATTTACATCATGCGGACGGAGCTGAGAGAGAAAGGGAGGGAAGGAGGAGAGGGAGGGAAGGAGGAATGGGGGGTGGGGAGGAGAGGGAGGAAGGGAGGGAAGGAGGAATGGAGGGTGGGGAGGAGAGGAAGAAGGGAGGGAAGGAAGGAGGGGGAGGGTAGGAAGGGGGGAGGAGGAGGGGGGAGGAGAGGAGGAAGGGAGGGAAGGAGGAAGGGGGTGGGATGAGAGGGAGGAAGGGAGGGGAGGTGGAAGGGAGGGATGGGAGGAAAGGAGGGGGGGGAAGGGGGGTAGCTTGTTTTACATACGAAGTCCGGGATTGGATTTGTTTGTTTGTGTGTTTGTTTGCATCGTTGCGCTTGCCGGCTAATATATAGGAGGCTTCAACGTTAGCCCTTATCTGCTCATAACACGCAGGGAAGGGGGCAGGGGGGGGGGCAGGGGAAGGGGGGGGTGCAAGCGGAGAAGCAAGTACACAGAATGAGGGAAGGGGAAGGGAGCTGTGTAAAAGGATGGATGGAAGGGGTGTTCCCTGGGTGGTGGGGGGGGGCGCAGGAAGTGGGTAGATTTGGGATAGAGGAGGGGAAGGTAGGCGATTAGAGGGGGGCGGGGGTCTGAAAAGGATGAGGGTCGGAGGGAGGAGGAAGAGAAGAAGTTGGCTAGACTTGGGGATAGGGGGAGGGGGCAAAAGTGAGATTCATGAGGAAAAGGGGAAGGAGTTGACGAGACTCGAGGGTGTCGTGGGGGAGGGGGTTCTGCTAAGGTAGGGGATTGGGGAAGGAAAAACGATGCATGGGGAAGAGGAAGGCGCTGGCTAGAGTTGGGGCTAGGGGAAGGGAAGAGAGGAGGGAGGATGGCTCTACGAAGGAGGGGAGTTGTTGGGGAAGAAAGGAGAAGATTCACAAGGAAGGGAAGGAGGTGGCATGATTTGGGGATTGGGAGGCAGGGGGAAGGACCTTGCCTGACGACATGGGGGGGGGGGGGTGGAAGGACCTCTCGCATGCAGGATTCAGCGGCGTCGAGCCTGATGGAAGAGGAGCTGAGGATTGGCTTTGGGTGGCCGGGGGGAGAGAGGGAGAGAGAGGGAGAAGGGAGAGGAGAGGGAGAGGGAGGAGGGAGAGGGAGAGAGAGAGGGGGAGAGGGGGAGGAGAGATCGAGGGAGAGAGAGAGAGAGAGAGTGAGTGAGTGAGTGAGTGAGTGAGTGAGTGAGTGAGTGAGTGAGGAGTGAGTGAGTGAGTGAGTGAGTGAGTGAGTGAGTGGGGAAGGGGGGGTATTGGAAGTTACTTTTTTCGTTTATTTTTATATTTTGTGTATTTTTTATTTATCGTTTATAAAGTTTATTTATTCATTCGTTCATTTTTATAGCCTTGTAACTAAGCTTTAGTCGTCGCGATATTTGATCTAGATTTTGCAAGACAGTGGGTCGTATTTGCTCATCGTTATAGTGATCGCTTTTTCACGGAATTCATTATTTTTCAGGGTAGTGCTGTCTGTAGGTGTTTATTATTCATCGTTGTGGATCTCCCGTCTTCTTTATCTTTACCCTGCCTCGCCCTCTTTTTTTCCTTTTTAACTCTTCCTTTCGTCATTCTCCTTTCCTTGTCTCTCCCAGTCTTCCTCCCTTTTTTTCCTCTCCTTTCCCACCTCCCTTCCATCGTTCCTCCCGTTTCCTTTCTTCTCCTTTCTTCTCTCTTCTTCATAATTCTCCTCCTCCTTCCTCCTCTTCTCTCTCCCTCCTCTTCTCCTCCTCTCCCTCCTCTCTCCTTCCTCCTCCTCCTCCTCCTCCTCCTCCCCTCCTCCTCTCTCCCTCCTCTCCTCCTCCCTCCCCCCTCCTCCCCCCTCCCCTCCTCTCCCTCCCCTCTCCCTCCTCCTCCTCGCTCTCCTCCTCTCTCCTCTCCTCCTCCTCCTCCTCCCCCTCCTCCCTCCTCCTCCCTCTCCCTCCCTCCTCCTCCTCCTCCCCTCCTCCTCCTCCCCTCCCATTATACATGTATCTCCCGATCTCTTCCAACTCTTCCCTCATTATCGCTCGTTTCTTCGGCCGCCATTCGTCGATTCGGCGGGTGATTAGCGCTGTCCAATCACGATTAGGAGATTAGAACCGCATTATTATTATTATTATTTTCTTCTCCTTCTTCATCTCCCTCTTCTTATTGTTAACTCTTGGCGATTTCTGGGGAAGTGCGGGATTTGGCGGATTTAATCTGTGGGTGTTTGTAGTTGTTTTTTCTCTCTTTGTTGTTGTTTGTTCTTTGTTTGGTGATTGTAGTTTTGGTTTTGCAAGGGCAGCGTGGGTTTGTTGTCATTGTCGAGGCGGTTGTTCTTGCTGTTTTAGGTCAGTTTTTTTTCATTGATGGGTGTTTATTGTATTGTTTTTTTTTTTTT